TAATAAAGAGGACCCAAACTCATTAGGAGGCCCGTATCAAACAAAGCATGAACCCTATATGAAAAAATTAGTGAATAAACATGTACTTATGTGTTTAAATAAAATAAAATCTTTAATAATAGGTAAAAATAATTTTTACAATTACAGGCTTTCCCTACTGTCCAACAGTAGAGCATATCCTATGAAACCTTTCTAAGCTGAAATGGCAGCCAGTAGCCACAAGAATTTTTAAAAAGTGCAATATCTGACTATTTTGTCAGGGGCCCTGACCTCTTTTCCCTTAGCTTATCAAATAAAAAAATGATAACAGCAGTCCTGGCCAGTGTTGCTCAGTGGCTAGAGTGTTAGCCTGCACACAGAAGGGTCATGGGTTCAATTCCTGGGTTACAAGTTCGATCCCCAGCCCGGCCAGGGCATGTGCAGGAAGCAACGAATCAATGTATCTCTCTCACATCAGTCTCTCTCTTCCACTCTTCCTCTCTCTTCTCCCTCCCTCCCATCCTCTAAATCAATGAAAAAAATATCCTTGGGTGAGGATTAATAACAACTACCACAAAAAAACAACACAAAAAATGATAACAATAACCATCCAGTGTAAATGAATCAAAATTATACCTTTTTTTCATATCAGCAAAAACATATTTTTTGTGTGTGCTGCAGAATTTTAGCAATTAGTTTATGTGTGCCATGAGCTGAAAAAGGATGCAAATCACTGGCATAAGGCAAAGAAGCAATTACCATTCATTTGTATCCAAAAACTAACTCACCAAATCATATCAAATAACACATAAACACCTAAAATAACACTAACATATTGGGAAAGCCAGAATGCACAAAACAAACCAAGGTAAGGTACAGGTGCTCACAGACCCAGCTCGCAGCCCTGTTGGCTTGATCCTGGATGCTAAGTGTAGTAACTGGGAAAGAGCGTGTGGTGCCACGCTCACTGCTGGAGGTGCCACTGCCTTATAACAGCTTGCAGCCAAACAAACGCTGAATGCTATTTCTTACCTTTCTTTGTTAGAGTGAAAATCCTCTTCACATCTCTTTCAGTTAGCTAACTTAGGTTCTAACGTAGATCTTTCATAAAAGGGAAAGTGGCATGAGGTGAACTTTTAAAATTTGGGGGATGCCTGCAATGACTTTTTCATTTGATGAACCAACTATAGGTTTCATCTGGCAAGGGGGCTTTTATAATGCTCAAAGTTCCAACATGACTAGAAATATACTTTTTAACCTCCGTAGCTATCTTAGCATCCTTAGTTTGTTACAGATGAATTTAAATTATTTACAAAATAAGGTAGAGTTAATATTTATAATATAGAAAGAGCATCTAGATAGTGATAAGGAAAAAACACAGCATAAACATAGTTCAGAAAACTACAAATCACCCTATACAGTTTGGCTCAATGATAGAGCATCGGCCTATGGACTGAAGGATCCCAGGTTCGATTCCGTTCAAGGGCACATGCCCAAGTTGCGGGCTCGATCCCCATAGGAGTGTGCAGGAGGCAGCCAATCAATGAATCTCTTTCATCATTGATGTTTCAATCTCTCTATCTCCCTTCCTCTCTCTGAAATCAATAAAAATATTTTTTTAAAAAAAGAAGAAAACGAAGTCAAATCAGCCAATAGCCTATGAAAATATCAAGCCCAGTAGTCATCTGGAGTTAAAATAATTATAATACTCATTATTGACTATTAGGCCTAAGAAAAGAGATTAGAGGGATAAACTCACTTTAGTTTTGAAAATGTGAATTTTAGGAAAGTAAACTATGTATTTAAATATAAAATACACATACCTTCAATCCAGGAATTCTATTCCTTGGGATGAATTACATAGACAAAATCCTCACACATATTTTTTTAAATATATTTTATTGATTTTTTACAGAGAGGAAGAGAGAGGGACAGAGAGCTAGAAACATCGATGAGAGAAAAACATCGACCAGCTGCCTCCTGCATGCACACCCCCGACTGGGGATGTGCCCGCAACCAATGCACATGCCCCTGACCGGAATCGAACCTGGGACCCCTCAGTCTCTCTCTCTCTCTCTCTCTCTCTCTCTCTCTCGCTCTCACTCTCGCTCTCGCTCTCTCTCTTCTCTCTCTCTCTTCTCTCTCTCTTCCTCCTCCTCCATTCCTCCCCTCCTTCCACTCTCTCTAAAAAATCAATGGAAAAAAAATATACTCCCGTGAGGGTTAACAAAAAAGTAAAAAGAAATCTGCCTTGGGCAGTGTGCTCAGTGGTTTGAGCATGGGCCCATGAACTGAAGGCTTTAAGGGACACCTGCAGGAGGCAACTAGTTGCTTTGTCTTTCGTCTCTTTCTCCCTCTCTCTCCCCCTCTCTTTGTCTCTCATTCCTCTCCCTCCTTTCTATTCTCTCTAAAAAAAAAAAAATTATATATATATATATATATATATATATATATCTCTTTGGATTAAGATTAACAACAAAAATCTGTTATTCATTTTTCTATTTCTTGTGATGCCTTGTAAATAGTTATTTGAATGAAGACAATGATCATTATGAACTCCTGCAATGGCAATTCTTTATTGTGTGAGTCTATACCATGCTTTGCAAGATATTTATCATCACTCTTCAGTCATTCCAACAACTAAAATTCCAGCCCAACTTCCAGCACCCCTTTTGGGATGCAGGGGGTGTTGGTGTTGGTGCTATTCCTGTTGAGAAACACAATGTTGGAGTAATTGAAATATTTCTAAGAATTGTAACATCTGTGCTGAGCCTTAAAGGATGAGTAGGATTCCACAGAAATTGGGTTCAACCATTGTGGCTCAGTGTTGAGTGTCCACCTATGAACAAAGAAGTCACAATTTGATTCCCAGTCAGGGCACATGCCTGAGTGGCTGGCTGGATCCCCAGTTGGGGGACATGGGGGCAGGCAGGAGGCAGCCAGTAGGTGATTCTCATCATTGATGTTTGTGTCTCTCTCCATCTCCCTTCCTCTCTGAAATTTATAAAAATATATTTTAAATAACACCACAGAAATTGAGACACAAACAGCATATAAAAGAAGGAGAAACATAATTAGACTCTACTTTGACAGATGAAATGGTATGTCTATGTTGGCAATAAAGTTAGGTGGTGTGGAGTTAGAAGTCTGACAGAGGTGTGAGGAAAGGGAAGTATCATTTCACTCTAATACATCTTGCATATTACTGCCTGATTAATTTCCGAAAACACTGCCCTATTCGGTAGTCCACTTAGTTTTGCCTGCTAGTCTTTATACCTTTGCTTTGTGCTCAAGGCACTTTATCTCATCATATTTATCCAACTGTACTACTCCTTAAAATTATTTAGGTATGTGTGGCTGACTGAGTAAAGTAATATTTCCCCCTTTCTTTATCAATGTGCTCACTTCATGCTTTTTTTTAAAAATGTCTTTCTTCCTTCATAAAATCTATCATCATTCTGCCTATTCAACTTTTTCCTACTCTTGGATACCTTTTCTTTAATATAACTGCCCATACCATCCCACACCGTACTGATATGTCCTTTCTCTTTTTTATAGTGTTTATGGTTTGTTCTACAATACTTAACACAAAATTGTATATGGCTTTTGATGCCTCTCACTCTGATTCTCTTAAAGAGCTGTGTGAGGTTAAGATATATAAACATATGCCTTGAAATATATTTTAAACCTCCAAAGCGCTTTTTTTTTCTTGGTCAGATGATAAAAGGCATTGCCCTTTGAGTGAAATACTTCATATAGTATTAGATATTGAGCACTCTGAAAATTTTTTATATTTAAATTATCAAGTATTTTTGTTTCTATAACTGATTATAATTATTTTTGAGTGTAGGAACCAAGATGTATATATCTATACCCCCCCCCCAATGCCTAGTAGAGTGTCTTGCTCACGTAACCACTCACTATTTCATGATTTTATGATTTTTATTTGCGTTATCAATTTGCCTTAATTGTAACCAGGTTTAGAACATTGTTTTGTTTTGCTAACAATAGAGGGTACCATTAGGGTGCCAGTACACCCCCAAAATAGTCCTATCCCAATCCTTGGTAGCTTTCTTGAGCCCACTTGCCTTTTTCTAAGTAGTGTCATAGAAATTTGAATATTATCATAGTCCAAATGATAATATTAGAGCAATTAAAGTTTAGAGCAATATTGGCCTCATGTTATTTAGTTGAAGAATAAGTACTGCCATATTTTGATCCTTTGCAGTTTCAAACTTTTTCTCCTTATTCTTTGCTCAAATGAAATCTTACCCAGGACCTTACTCTATTAATTAAATGCACTCCTTTCCTAAAGGGAGAAGAGAGAGGTGGAAAGCAACAAACTGGAACCTCACCTTTTGTTCTGTTCCTCCTTCCTCATCCCCCATCCAAAGAGCACAGCTTGAAAAACCACTATAACTCGTCTAATTAAAAAATGCTTATTTAAAAAAACTGTTCTTTTGTGATATCTCGTGTAGGAACTTAGTGTAATAACAGAGACACGTTAGTTTTACAGTGATTTTTAAGTACAAAGGAAAATGCTCTGGAATAAATTTCTTGTTTCAGCAGTAAAAGAGTTAATATACTAAGCAGCAGAGACTGATACTGTGAGGGATAGTGCTTTCTGTCTCTGTCATTTGTGGTTTAAGGAAAGGGGGTAGTGTTCTGCATTTGAAAGGGCTTTCATGAATGCTGACAGTGTTTGTGAGAGCTAATGGTCAGTATGGGAAGGGAGAGCAGAGGAAAGTGGGCTAGCTGCTTCAGGATAGGTGGATGAGTTTGCTCTGATTGAACGGAATGTTCCACCGTGTTTCATCTTTATTCATCATCCTTTGTTCCTTATAATCTGACATAGTGGTGTAAAAGTAAATGTGGCTATATATGTGCATGTGATTTATTTTCTTTTCAATCTGTTTATTGTGTACAGCAGGGCATATACTTCTCTTGTCTTGGTCGGATGCACAGATTTGTGTGCAGTGCTTTTTGCCCGTTGCCTAGACGATCACTTGGTTTCTCTGAGGATGTCTGGTTCTCGTAAAGAGTTTGATGTGAAGCAGATTTTGAAAATCAGATGGAGGTGGTTTGGCCATCAAGCATCATCTCCTAATTCTACAGTTGACAGCCAGCAGGGAGAATTTTGGAATCGAGGACAGACTGGAGCAAACGGTGGGAGAAAGTTTTTAGATCCATGTAGCCTACAATTGCCCCTGGCTTCAATTGGTTACCGGAGGTCCAGCCAACTGGATTTTCAGAGTTCACCTTCTTGGCCAATGGCATCCACCTCTGAAGTCCCTGCATTTGAGTTTACAGCAGAAGATTGTGGCGGTGCACACTGGCTGGATAGACCAGAAGTGGATGATGGCACTAGTGAAGAAGAAAATGAGTCTGATTCCAGTTCATGCAGGTTGATGATTTTCTTACTGTTAGCAGTGGGGGGTGGGGCATATTCTCTATAATGTTTTAAGATATCTTAGTATTGTTATTTAAAATTTATGACCATATATGTATGTACCTCATGCAAACACATATATAATATCTTGGTATGCAAATGTGGGACTTTTGCTGGGATTTTAAAATATTCTAATATTAATTCTGTAAAATTATAAAGACAACAAATAGCATTCTTTATATCTTGTGTTCCATATATAGATCTGGCTCTACCTTGAAAAGAATATATAGTAACAGTTTTATGCATCATTGCCTTACAGTTTGCTTCATCCTTTTACCTTTCTTAATCATAGCAAAACTATTGGAGACATTTCTAGTGTATAAATTTTTTCTGACATTTTCGTTTTTGCAACAGATTATAGTCATTTTAATGAAAATGAAAGGTTTTATAAGGAGATGACAGGGTAGTTGTCAATAATTTTTTTACACCATGTAGATGTCAATAGTCTTTTTATGGTTATTTCTCTTTGTCTTGTCTATGTTGCAGCTCTCCAGTCTAATACAGAGAATACAGTAATATGTCTCTTTCTAAGATGACAGCTACTAATTCCTGTTACCTTCACTTCACTGAAAATTGTGCAATTTAGGGAAATGAGGGACATTCCTTCAGGAGAGTTTAAAGGAATGTAGTGGGCTAGTCGTGGTCAGCTGGTGAGAGAGGGGAAAGAGGAGGGGAAATGAGTTTGAGGAGAGAAAATAAAGCATTGGTAATTTCATAATGGCTTTATCCTATTCATTCTTGGAACCTGGTTTTATCTTTGAAATGGATTTTCTTATTAGCTAGTATAAACTACTGTACAATATTGCAAACAAGTTAGAACATAAAAGTCATCTTTCTGATTCATCTACACTCAAATATTTCAAAATATTTAAAGGCATATATAGTTTGTTTAGTTTGATTATGGATTATTTTTTTTAAATCTCTTTGCAGGTTTTGATAAACTTGTAATTTGTATGTTGATTATTAATGTAGGAAATGGAAACAAAATGAGTTCTTATATTCAAATATATCTTACTTAGGAAAAAAAAACACAAATAAATCTTACTTAGGGATATTGACTGCCTTCCCTTCTAACCTTCAGAATATTGAATTATAAACTGTGGTGTCAGAATAGTGATATAGACTAATCACCTATTATCATTTACGTAATGAAGAGAAGGGAATATCTTTACATAGACAACTAATATATTTTATTTTTAGAAAATATTTTTTTTTAATTAAAACATTTTTAATTAGTTTGTGACTTGGCATTATCTTGAGCTTAGAGAACACTAATAATTTTAATATGGAGATCAATTGAGTTAATGTGGTTTCATTGTTTTGGGTTGGTTTGTTTGTTCAGTTGAGGGGATTTGGATGGTAGGGGGGAGTTGGTGGTTGTTTTGAGACTTGTTGCCATAGGAGAATAATTTATACAGTAAAAGATTCAGGACTTATCATTTTTGTGAAAAACCAAAGAGTAATCATCTTTCCACTTAAAAAAATCAATGCAATGAATCAACATTTTAATAAAATTAGGCAAACCATTCATTTGTCAGCATAAATTATAAAAATCTTAACATGTATCTACTACTTGGAGAGATTTTACATATGTCTGTATGAAATTTATATACATGTATAGCCTTGGAAATGTTATACACACATTGGTTACTATAATTTACTTCTTTACAACAAAGGTAGTTTGCTTAACTAATAATTACTGAAATTAAATTAGTCTATTTTTTATATTGAAATACCATCTTGTTGGGATATTAATTATGAAAGAAAAAGATTGCCTTTTACTGAGATGCTATGTGCATACTTCAAGACTATAAAATTGATATTTCTATTTATAGGAGATGTAAATATAAGAAAATGACATTTTAAAAAATCTAAAATAAATGTCGTTTAAAAAATTTTAGTCAAGAAGATTGATAAAATAAAAAATAAACTGGGAGTAAACAGTTCACATCTACATTAACCAAACTATTTCTAAAATACCTTTTTAAAAAATAAAATGTACTTAAAATGTCTCTGATTTTTAGATATACTAGTAAAGGGGAAATATGTTAAAGCAATTTAATATTCCCACTGCTCTAAAATTTTCTATTTTAACACCTTATTGCAAAAAAAGGATAAAACAAACATCTAGATTTTAGAAATGTCATTTGTGTGTATATTTTTTACTTCTCCATTTTTTTCTAGATTGAATATATCTAATTCTCACATTTCCTTTTAGTCTTCTGACTCTGAGTCTTTGATTTTTGTGGGAACATTTATTTGGCCCGAGCTTTTTAGTTAAGTGAGCATCTCTCTAGGTGGTTGCTCTTCTACTGTAAGCAAATAAAAAACTACCACTGTTAATGTCAAAAGAAGCTACACTGATATTCCTCAAATTTTTGTATGTAACTTGGGAATGTTTCTTTTTCTTATACAATATTTGCAAATAATAAATATATAGTAAACATTTGAGTATACGATAGATGTCTTAAAATATTAAAGACATAATGGGGAAATACATAAGATACATGGAGAATTTATTTAGGCAGTAATATTTTTATTTAGACCCCAAAACTTAGACTGAAATTTTCAGTTATTAGAAAAAGGGAAGGCCGCTGAGTGGTTTTGCATACACAGAATCATCAGGACTTAGGAGGCAGCAAACATTATTAATATGTTTGATCAGTTGTTCTAGCTAGGAGAAGTATCTGTCTGAGACTTAGACTTCTGATAGTTTCTGCTGCCACAGATCTAAGTGATTTAAAAGTTCCTCTTCTGTTCACTTTGATCTTGGGTCTATAACCTTGCCACCTTTTCTCCATGGGAGTCCTCTAAATCATACTTTGGTATTAAAATACAAACTTTAGTTCATGTTACACCATGAGAATTTTAGACCCTATGTAACAGAGTTATCACCTTTCATGTGAACTCTAGGTTCCTAAGAGCTTAACTCATGATGAATTCTTAACGGGGTCAGCAAGGTTTACACGTGGCCCAAATACAAACACAATTTACACTTCCCTTGATTTGGCAGCTTTGAAATTCTGTAATTTTTGACATTTTTAATTGGGGGAAACCATTTCAAATTTTGTTTGTAAAGTTAGACTTTAATGTCAGACAGTTTTTTAGTCAATATGCATAAAATGTTACTGTACTTTACAAATAACGAAAAATAATAAAATAACACAGTTAGTACTGACTGGTGTTTACTATTCGTGAGGCACTGTTCTAAGCATTTTAGCATATTAACTCCTTTAGTCTTCACAACAGATTTCTGAATTAGACTGCTCCTGTTATATAGGACGGAGCAAAAGTAGGTTTACAGTTGTTCATATAGAAAATAATACAATAACTAATAAATAATAGTACAAGAATAAACAGTATCCATATTCACAACTGTAAACCTCTTTTTCCCCATCCTGTATTCTAACATTACAGATGAAGCCAATGAGGCACAGAAAGGCTAACTAACTTGATCAAGGTCATAAGTAAAATAAAACTGCACTTAAGAAAAACAAAGTTTATATTTTTATTACAGTTTTAGGTGTATAGAAAAATTGTGAAGATAGTATATGGTGAGTTCATATATACCCCACACTCAATTTCCCCTGCTATTATTATTTACTAGAGGTCCGGTGCATGAAATTTGTGCGGGGGGAGAGGGGTGTCCCCCCTCAGTCCAGCCTGCACCCTCTCCAATCCAGGACCCCCTCAGAGGATGTCCAACTGCTGGTATAGGCCCGACACCAGCAGTCGGACATCCCCCTCACAACCCAGGACCACTGGCTCCTAATCACTTACCTATTTGCCTGCCTGGTCGCCCTTAATTGCCCCATCTCACCAGCCTGATCACCCCTCACTGCCTCTGCATGCCAGCCTAATCGCCCCTAACTGCCCCCTCTGCCAGCCTGGTCACCTCTAACTGCCCCCCCCCCCTGCCAGCCTGGTTGCCCCCAACTGCCCCCTGGGCCAGCCTAATCGCTCTCAACTGTCCCCCTGCCAGCCTGCTCACCCCTAACTCCCCCACTCCTGCTGGCCCCTGGTCACTTCTTATTGCCGCCCCCCCTCCCGCCAGCCTGGTTGCCCCTGCTGTTCAGTCATTTGGTCATCCCTCACTAACCCCCCTGCCGGCCTGGTCGCCCCACAAACCTGCTGTTCAGTGTTTGGTCTTCCCTCACTAACCCCCCTCCCTTAACCCTACTGGCCTGGTCGTAGATAGCTATCTTATGAGGGTGTGATGGTCAATTTGCTTATTACCTCTTTATTATATAGGATTATATAGGATTAGTTTGGTGCATCTATTATTAATGAATTAATATTGATATTTTTTTATTTTATTTTATTTTATTTTTACTTTTTTTTTTTTTTGTCCCCCTCGGATATTTTATTGCTAACTGAAGTTCATACTTTTTTCAGACTTCCTTAATATCTACCTAATATCCTTTCTCTGTTATAGGATTCTATCCAGAATAACATTATTATTATTTTTTTTTAATTGATTTCAGAGAGGAAGGGAAAGGAGAGATAGAAACATCCTTGGTAAGAGAATATCATTGATCAACTGCCTCCTGCATGCCCCCTACCGGGGATTGAGCCTGCAACCCTGGCATATGCCCTGACCAGGAACCAAACCATGACCTCCTGGTTCATAGGTCGGTGCTCAACCACTAGGCCATGCGGGCAGCCAGGCAACATTGTTATATTTAGTCCCTCATGTTCCCTTAGTTTCTTCCGGGCTGTGACAGTTTCTTTTGTTGTGTGTTTTTGTTTTATTTTTTATTGATTTCAGAGAGAGGAAGAAAGAGAGAGAGATAGAAACATCAATGATGAGAAAGAATAATCTGTCTGCTACCTCCTGCATGCCTCTTACTGGGGATTAAATCAGTAATCCCAGCATGTATCCTGAAATGAATTGTCACCTCCTGGTTCATGGATCAGTGCTCAACCACTGAGCAACACCAGCCCAGGGACTTTCC